CTCACTGTGATGGCAATGGGAGATCTGCTGCTCACTCCACTCTAAGGCACTGTAGAGCATGTTAAATGAATTATGGGCACATCAGACAACTTCAGGCACTAGTGGACACAGCATGGAAATACATTTAAGTCCAAGAACAGGAGCCACTTCAAAGGCTGGTGGGCATACAGAACAAGCAACAAGTAATGTTTCTGAAGCCGATATACTGTCTTCTTTCATGAAACAGCAGGATGAGATGCTTGACTGAATGACCTCCTCTCATTTGTAACCTCTAAGTCATTTGTTCTCTCTGTGCAATTCCAGGAGTTGTAGTTGTAAGGCACATCTGAAAAAAAAAAAAAAGGCAATTCTTCCCAAAAATTGGAGAATTACAATTTAGAATAAAATAATAAGGGGGTGACTTGTTTTATGATCTGCTTTCTTCCTGTAAGGGTACAATTTTACTTGTCTGAGAAAGCAGTAGACTACAAGCAACTGTCATATGCCTGATTTATGTTGCATATACAGTAAATACATTTATATGGGATTTTTTGTCACAGATCCACACAGAGTCCTCCATAATGTCAATAAAGACTGTGTAAAAGATTTAAAAGCACTGTATTCGTACATGTCCTGGAACTGAGGACCAATTTAACTAAATACAAAACCAAATAGGAAAAATATTCTTCAATATTGTGTCCCCCACCCCACCCCACCCCACTCCAAGATCAAGCTAGCCCTCTCCAGGCTAGAAGAGATCACTCTTGATCTCTACTATTCACAGTGATCTGACTGCTCATCATGTGCAATTGATGATCTTTTCCAAATTCTACCACATCAGGGAGAAGTAAATTTGAAAACCAATATTTTCAAAAAAGGGACAGGAAATATTCCCATCTTTCAAGTGAGCAAGAAGTTAAATATGAGTAGGGTCAAAATTGGCTTGGCAGATACTGGTTTTCATTACATGCCCAAAACTAAATATACCGTAAATTCTCCTGCACACTAGCCTGCTGTGTGTAACTGACTGGAGTAAAGCTAGATATGATGACCATTGTGGAGCTAAATGGCATGTGATGTTCGTAAAGGTTAGAGACTGCAGAAAACAAGAACTCCCATTTAAAAGAAGCCAAGACAAACATGATTATTTATTAATTCAACAGCTATGTACAAGCTGGACCGAACAGAGTATGAGTAAGTCTTCTGGAGACAGGGGAGTGCGTTATCTGGAGTATGCAGTCAGAGGCCTTTTTTTCTGTCAGAGTCCAGTATTCTGCAGGAAAGAGTAACACCCTATCCTGTCCATGTTGGACAAGGCACAAAAAAAGCAGTTCTCTCTCCAAATCAGTGCAACGGAAAGCTACTGTTTAATGGCTCCATCTCTGGATCTAAAACAGACATTCTGAGAGGTTATGAGCCGAATATAGAAGGAAAAACAAGGTAATTGTCTTAATCAATCAGGATCTATGGTGGATGTATGAAAGTAACCAGCCCATATTTTGTATTTTTAAAGCATTGTATTCTGCAGATGGACCCTAAAAAAAAAAAAAGGTTGAAAACTTATACAAATAAAAACCAGGTACAAAGAGATCAGAATCCTCCAGAACATTATCCCAAAAAACAAACATTTAATTATTTGAGATACCATTCTTGAAGATTAATCAACACATCTCATTAAAAGAGGATATTGCTTAGCAGAAATGAAAATTCTTATCAAGTGCATACACACAGTTTAGAAAATTGAAAAATAATCCAGAACAGTAGAATTATACCCCCCCCCCCACCCCCACCCATCAGAAGTCAGTATGGGAAAGGTTACTGTAACTCTTACCAGGAATGGGTACCTGTAGCCTATCCCAGAATCAACACCATGCTGTATCTCACACACACAGGTCATACCTATCCAGTACGTTGATATCACATTGTCCCTTTACCTCCTCAACTGTCAGGCAGGCAGGCACAAAGCTGAAAACCAAACATACCCCCTTCGTAAGTTTATGTATAACTCTGAATGAAGAGATCTGAGAGGCAAGGGAACGAGTCGGCACCAATCTGTAGATTTCTTGAGAGAATTGTTTGCATCTACTAGCCTGTAGATGGCAGGCCACAACAGTGCATTACTCAGTAACTACTGCTCCCCTCTGCAAAGAACACTGAACTTCGCAAGAAAAAAAAAAGCTAAGATCAGTACACTCACTCTTGAACAGTTATGAGCAGACGTCTGTACACCCTCCTTATCTCCACAGGGCGAAATTGTCCCAGTGATTAAGACGGGATTATTTTTTTAACTGTATAAAAAGGTGCCGTGGTCATGACCATGACTCTCCATGGTCATTGAAAATCCCAGATCTCTGGAAAACACTAGGGGTGTTAACTCCAATGTCCTGGCCAAATTCTCCTTACCAATCATGGCATCCTCATAATCCTCATCTATCAATTGGCTTAATCACTCCATTCTCCTCCCCCCTGATAGCTGGTGTGTGGCAAGTGTCCTGGTGCACTTTAACTGCTTTTGTATCATCCAGGTGGGGGCTGCACACTGGTGGTGATGGAGGGGAGACCCCATTACCCATAAAGCACTTCAAGTGGAGTGTCCCGAAAAGTGCTATATAAGTGGGGGAAAAAAAATTGCATGTATGAATGTAACATACTGTACCAAAGTAGTCTTTTCAGAGCCTGTGGTGTTCAATTACACAGCACTGCTGTATAAAACATGAGGGGTAGGAGTAGAATCAGAACTGATTCTATATGACATAAGTATTGTACTTTTTATGCACAGGAATAAATAAGTGTCAGGTTAGGTTCCGACTCACCACAACACTCTTTTAATCTTCTGCTAAATTGCATTTACTGTCTAATCATTCATCTTTGCAAGGAGCAGTTAAGGCTTTCTAATGTAGTTCCTAACCTAGGATAAAGTCCCATCCCTTTCTGTACACTCACTGTGTTTAAGAGGTGTATTAGTTTAGCCTAAAAAAAAGGATTTTTGAAATGTGAATTTAAAATTTATTTCAGTATTCTTGCAGCTGTTACAGACAAATATGCTCACGGGGTTTAATTGCAGTTAAAGTGACTTAACATTTCCTGATGCCCTGTGTCACCGATGAGCAACTGACAGAGAGCAGATAAACTGCATATGGTAATTTAATACCTTTCATACGCACTCAATCTCTCTGTAAAACACAAACATATAGAATACTGAAGTATAGAACAAAGTCAGAAACATTTTGACTGTGGGGCCTTTTTTACAGCTTTTTATTTGGACATCTCAAAAGGGCTCAGTCGAAAGAGCTGAAATAAGACTGTCTTGCAGTCGCACTCGGTCAGAAAAACCTCACCGTATGAGCACAGCTGAGTAATATTAACAGCCTTCTGCTGACACCCTTGAAAGAAGCGGCCAGTACAACTTAAAGTTGTCTGGAAAATAAAAGGGGCACTCTCTTCAATTTTAAATTGAAGTTATTGAATAGTCATCTATACATTGTAGATGCTGTAGAGCAAAGAAAACCCATGTTACACTTAAGAGGCAGAATAATGATTCAGGTACTTTACTTTTGCACATATAGTAGAAAAGAAAAAGTGCATTGTCGAACTGAAATCTGTATCCATTCTGCAAGAGAATGTCATTTAATAGAATAATTTTTATAGTCAGTAATAGGTCACTGGACGTATTTTGATATACTGTACCAGTAGCTATTAAAAAGAATCACATGCATGCATAATTGAAAGACATTCTCTTATGGGTACGCATTTTGAAATCATTACTGAATAAACCTCATGTCTAAAACAAAACAAGAACTACTTCCCTTCAGCAGGAGAAAACAAAAACAATTAATGCAAGCCAGCGTTGGCACTTATAAGGGAAAACAAATCCCACTGCGAGTGAGACTAGTTTGACAGAAGCACTCGTTCAGCCACAGGGAGGTATGGGGTTGTACTGCAACTACCGCTGACCAAAAGCCACACAAACAGAGACGGCTGTCCGGTGACTGGCTTGCTTCTTTACACTGCAGTTCAGTCTCGTTCTCCAGTCCCCAGGAACAGCCCATCTAAACCCCAGGAAACTGACTAATGTCTCTGAGAAACTAGTGTTGCGTTTCAGACAGCATGTCTACTTCCAAACAAGCAAGACCTTATTCCACACCAACAAGTCACCACTATTGGTCAGTGTCTTATGGCTCTGCATTTTCAGTGCTGTAAGGAGAGGCAGGGACTACCACAGAGCAGGCAGTAGTCTAAGAAAGAGGCACATCTGATAAGGAATAAGCACAGAGCCCCTTAATGCAGCAGGAATGCAGTTTTTCAAACCCTCAACTGGGGATCTGGTTTGTGAGAATTAGTCTCTGCAGCCACAGACAGCTCCTGCCCAAGTCTTTGTCAGTGGCTGTCAAATTTACAAGCAATACTTAGATGTAAAGTGTTTCTAATTTATCATCCTTCGAGATCAGGAATTATTAGTACTGATGTTTCCAGGGATTCGTTCATACTGCAGAGATCTAAGCGTCTTACCTAGCAGTGTATCACTTCCTGTAAATTGGGAGCGATAGAATCCTGGAGACTCCATTAGCAACACATACAGTATGTCCCACAATCTTTATTAAAAGAACACAGGCTTGAGGAGTTCCCTTAACATTGTCACAAATAGCTGGTACAGATCCGTGAAAGCTTAAAGAGTGTCTTACAGAGTACAGTCCACAGTGTTCCCTCCCGTTGTACCTCTCAAGGCCAAGGTAGCACAGATGGGCATAGTTACAGAACTCACAAAACAAAGCATTTATTTTGTTAATACATGGAGCTTTTCACCTGGAAAATAAAGAAAATCAGTCGTAACCACCATCAATATGCTGTAAAAAAAACATCCTGAACTGAGCACAATCAGGTAAAAGAAACAGCTACACACATGGGAAAGTTAATTTCAAGATTGCGTTCTCCATAACCGAATCTTATGTTTCCCCCCCTCTGTTTATTTTTTTTAAACAAAGAACCGATATGAAAAACCCATTAATCAAATTACGATTTACCTGTTGTACTGTTGTTCCACTGAAACTCACGCAGCAATATCATATCACCAAGCCTATCTCCGAATACGTGTATAGGTTAAACAGTAAATAAAACAAACAAAAACGAACTGCAAAGTTTTTTTTTAAATAATCAAATTGCCTTAAAAATAGCTACGTTTGAAGCTATTCTGGTGAAACATACAGTACAGGTGTTATTTTTCCTCCCAGAATAAGCACAGCTGAAACTATTCTGCTTCTTCACCGGTCAATTCAGATCTCATTTAACTATATTCACTGATTAATAATTATTAAATATTGTGAACCTGTGATTCTTAACTCTAGGTGTAAACGTGAGGACATTCTTCTTGACTCTTCTTGACCTGAGCTTTTAATGACGTCATTTAATTCATTACTATTTACTTAATTACAGCTGTTGGTAAGCTTTCATTCATTAAGCGGTTCCTTAGAAAACGTGCGAGGGGTGACGGCTATCAGCATTCGCTATTAAATTCGTCTTTCAGAGTAAAATTATGCATTGAGTGTTAACATTTATTTTTTATAATGATACATATGTTACAGTACACTATATTCCATTTGTCGTTAAACATGTTCCCCATTATCATTACAGAGGTTCCGCAGCTGTCGTCCACATACAGTATAAAACAAACACCCGCAAAAGATTTGATCAGTATATTTGCGCTGTAGTAACGATTTGTATTATCTGTCGTTTTTTTTAGGAAGCGGTTGCCAGAGATCTGTTCTGGTTTGTGATTTATTTAAAATTGTTTTACACCACTGAAGATCTGTGTCTCTACAAGGTGAATTGGAAAACGCTATATGAATTAAAATTTCTAATTACAATTAAGATGTCTAACAGCCACATAATATCTAAAGCTACTGGGGTGTTAAGATTTAGACATTTCCTCATTCTGCAATGGCTGACAAGGGATTGTGGGCTTAGAAATACCGAAAAAATATATGACTATGAATAGAAATCTATGTTTATTTTTAAGCTTTATGTCTAAAGCTTTTCCTAAAAATGGAGTCGGGTAGGATATGAGTTGTATAACAATTTGCAAGTTGTGTCAGCTATTTATACTTTTTTTGATATTTAATTCACTTTTTTTCATATTTAATATGAGTATTGGGTAGCAAAATTGAGAACTACAGTGTTTTCATATACAGTATATTGTGCATATAGAGGCATTTTAGAAGATAATTTAAGATTGCATGGAAGTATTTTGTATAATAGAGAGGAAGTTGTGGCAAACCTCTGTCAATGACTGTAGAAATGTTGCGTGTTGTTGTTTTTGCCAATGTGTTACTTCCAGCTGATACAACACTGACCTGACTCCTCGGCTGATGTAATTCAAAATCCCTACGGCTTCCAAGACGACATTTAAGAACGAGAGCAAACTTGGCTTGAAAAAGATGCTTCTGCTGTGCATCAGCGATGTCAAGAAACAGAAGCACTTATACAATACAACTGAAATCCATTACTTAAGCTCCACATTGAAGTTTTTGTTCTGCAGTTAGCTGTAAGAGGTCGGTTCATGCCTTATATTGCTGATATTATGATCCAATCTTGAAGAAAGGTCACATGACTCACAGCATATTTGTAAATGCAGGGAGAAAAAGTGTTCACCCAAGCAACCCTCTTTTTTCATAAGTGTTGATGTAATACTAAGAGACTTCCTGAACACAGGCTTCATTCACAAAGTCTTCAGCTAGCCACTAGAGTTAGGATCCAAACAAGCCATCGCTAAGCAACCGGGAAGAACTGCGACCTCCTTGTTGTTATTTGTTTGAGGAAAAATGGCTGGCTCTGGTTCTGGCCATGATAAAAAAGTTTTTGTGGTTTCTTAAAAAAAAAAGTGAACATCTCCAGCTGTGAGAGCTCCCCCAGAAGCAGGGCACTAGAGAGCTCTCTGAGTCACTGCCTCTGACGTCTACGGAGGCCTGTTTTCCTAAACAAAAAAAGGCGCTCATGCTGACAGAATGAAAGTATTTCTCTGATGGACTGCATGCCACAATTCCTCGCGAACATGTCACAGCACTATTTGAGAATCACAAATTGTGGTTCCCATAGAAATATTTGATGCATTCCAAAGGCCGAATATGGTTTCTATTTCCAGAAAGATATGGCAAGATGCTCGAAAAAGGCAAGTTTTACACATCGCTGCTCCAATGTACAACAAATCACATTCTGTGACAGAATCAGATGTACAGTAGGGTATTAGATATAAAACAGGAAGGGAGCAAAGGTGAAACAGTGTTTGGCAGTTCTGACAATGATTACATAACAAAAATAGTATTAGCTAAATAATAATAATGTATTTTCTTTACAATTTGAGATAACAGCAATAATATCTATAGTACCATCTATTGTTTTCAATTGTTATTTCTTCACTAACAATCCTTATACCGATTAGCTTTAAAAACAAACATACATTTTGACATGAGAGACGCTATGCCAGCAGCCATATCACCCTGCAACTCACAACTGGCAGCCCAGTGAAGCTCAGCTCAGGTGTGAGCCTGCTCAGTACCTGGATGGGAGACCTCCTAGGAAAAACATAGGTTGCTGCAGTCTGTGTGGGTCCTAATGCCCCAATATAGTGATGGGGACACTATCCTGTAAAAAGGCTCTGTTCTAAAACTGAGGTCCTGACTCTCTGTGTTTTTTAAAAATCCCAGGATGTTTCTTGAAAAGAGTAGGGGTGTTACCCTGGCATCCTGGCCAAATTTCCCATTGGCCCTTACCAATCAAGTCCTCCTAATAATCCCCATCTGGTAATTGGTTTCATCACTCCGATGTGTGGTGAGTGCACTAGTGCACTATGGCTGCCATTGCATCATCTGGTGGGGCCCACACGTTACCTGTAAAGGGCTTTGAGTGGAGTGCCCAGAAAAGCGCTGTGTAAGTGATAATTATTATTATTAGGAACTGTTTTAGCCCCTGGAAGAATGGGTGATGTTGAATGCAGGCTTGTCAGAAATCCTGCCCAGGATTAGAAGCACAGGCATTGGCAGGGTCAACTCCGCAGTCTTCTTCAGAAGCATGATCCAGGCAACAGAAGTGGAGTCTTCAGGAACAGGATGTCAATGTGCATTTAAATCCAAGAACAGGAGACATCACTTCGCCAGAAGTGTTGTGGTAATATAGAACAAGCTGTTGTTGAAGCTGATACCCTGACACCCTACACAAACAGGGCTGGATGAGGTTCTTGGATCAATTAACTACCAAATCAGTTAGGCTGAATGGACACCTCTAATCTGTAACACTTCTTATGTTCTTAAACTCTGGATCGATAAGCACAAGGATGGTCACTGGTGATGCCATTAATCCCTCCACCTCTGTCTCAGTCCACTGTCTCTGACAATTAGTCATGGCACTCTGCAACCACCATGCAATGTTGATGGAATCAAAATGCTAAATATTGATGGAACAAACAAAATGTTAACTTCGTGGCTACATTACGAATGTTGTACTGAACTGCATATATGATGTCATATTTTGCACGTAGCACATGGTTTAACAGGTTGCTTGCCACTGAGGCGAATAATAATATTTTGGTTATAAATAGGTTATTTGGGTGTGGGATTGAAAGGGCTAAAAGCCATTTTAAAAGCCTGCTTTCCCAGCTTCTGTAGGATTAAATGACCTGATAGAGAACGGGAATCATTAATTAACCCCTAGCAAAGCTGACACCTCCTGTTAATACAGGAGTTTAGAGCAATCAGGATACAACAACAATCATTAATGAGAAAACCATTAATGATCTGAATCAACAAACACTGTGTCAGATGTATCCATGCTGTCTCCTAATTGTACGTTTGCAGTAATTACAACAAGCAGTACAGTTTTCATAAAGATTCTGTGCATACTCAAGAGTTACCCTGTCGTGTTAGTGTACAATATCGTATATAGAAACAGACAGCAAATGAAAATTAATAATTTCCTTTTATTTGCTAAATTATATAGTCATAAGGTTAAAAAAAACAGCAACAACAACACCAAATTGTCAGAAGAACAGAAATACATTAGAACAAAAAAACTGCAGTAACTGTATAGTTTGCATAGCAAAATAAATGCATCAAATGAAATATATAAACCTTGCTAGGTACTTGCTAACAATTCTCATTCTTTAAATTTAAAACAAAAATGTAATCTGTTACATTTAAGCCACATGTCACTTTTGATTAATATTACAGTTGGTGAAATTGCTATTAGCTTTGGCATACTGTATATACTGTATATATAAAAAATATTAAGGCCAAGATTACGAAAGAAATGCAGACAACTGATGCAGTTTATAAAAATATCACTTTTCTGCTTTTAACTACATACACACTTCTAAAAAACAGGTATTTGAGAACTTTTTTTATACAAAGTTAAGCAGCCACCTATTTACACTAGAAGGAACACAATTCAGTTTATGGATAATGTCTACATTCAGGGTGGGACTCACTTAGTATATTAAAATAAATCCTGTACATTTAAAGAATGGCTCCATGGCAAAAAAACAGAAATAAATCTCTAGACCACATCTTCTTTTAATCTCTAAGGATTTGGAAATCACACAGTATTGGCTTTCAAGGTGTCATTTACATATATATAACGTGTATATATATGAAATGCCATTTAAGACAGGAAATACAAAAGAACAACACAAACAACAATACATGCCTAAATGACTTTACTCCTATGATAGAAAAATTACATTCAGCCCCTGTCCCTCCCAACTTAAAAATATAATATCTACCACTATTAAATCAAATAATTCAAAGAAAAAAAATTCTGGCACTTTCGCCAATTCTACTTTGAATGCTTTGGTAAATATGTTTTCGATCTCCTTCAACTTACAGAAATGTGTGTAAAATGGCTTCTTCTAAACCATACTTTAGCAGTGTTCAGATATGTAAGGAACATGCCCAGCAGACCTACAGATTGAACCTGTTTAGACTGAGTGGTGAAGTGCTGAATGTGTCTTTTAAACATTTATTTTAAAGGCAGTTATTGTACAAAGAGGTGTTATTGTTTTACATGAAGACTGGCCTACCACTAATTAACTAGACTATTCCTAAGATTTTTGAAAGATGAAGAATACCTTTAATGTAGGGTTAATGAACAACAGGTATTAAACATATCCTCTGAAAACAACTGAACAATTTAATTACATTCTTACTGATATTTTTATCTCTAATCAATAACGTTTTCATCATACAGAAAATTAAGTCTTATCAAAAAGTAAAGAAATGTTTTGTTATTACTACTGCTGAACTATCACTGGACACCTCTGGCTTTAATGGAATTTACTCTTTTGAAGTGCATGGAAAATACGAGACATACAGTTGGCAGGCCATGGCTATGAAACTCCTTCATTACAATAGCAGGAAAGCACCAGAGCAAAATATTTAGATATGTAAGGAAAAACACTGCTTCCTCAAGTTCAAGAGAGGCCATCACCCACATGAAGTGAGGGACAAATTGCTGAAGATGTCTTTGGACTAACAAAATAAACAAATTTGTGTCCTGAAACCAAGTATAACACTGTCAGCAAAATGGTATTAGCAGACAAATGCGGTATAAATGTAATACATTAAGCTAGAAATGAACGTTCATGTGCATCTGCTGAAATATGAATTTGCCTTTTTTCATTACAATAGCCGAATATTTTTGGCACACCCACCTGATGTGAAAGAGAAAAATGTGTTTTTCACTCTACGAACCTTGTCACCGCACACAGGGAACAATGAGGAAGTGAAGACAGGGCTCCTCCAACCTGTCCACCTTTGTGCCATGTATCACCAGCAACACCGCCCAATGCTGGAGGTTCGGCACCAATTGGAGGAGGGCTGCTATCCTCAGTGACAGCTGCATGCCTTGCGAAGCGCAGGAGGCTGCTGCTTTTCTGAGAGTTGTCAAGGCCCTGCCCAACTAACTCCACAGCACTTTCAGTAATGCTCAGCCAAGGCTTAATCCCATGATCCCTGAGCTCTTCCTGCACCCATCCAAGCACCCTTGCTGTCTGAGCTGCTCAGAAAGCCCCCACAACTATATTTCCAATGTGTCTACTATGTTAAATTTAAACTTCTTTATGAATATTTACAATATATATATACTCTACTAAGGCAAATATATCAGCTGCATAGCCCTGTGCTTATTATTTCACCTAAAACTGAACGTTTGGAAGGAATGAACACAAACTGTAAGATTGTCACAGGAATCCCGTTTATCACTGCAAACGGTTCTTTCATATTCAACTTTGAGAAAGACAAGTGGTGTGCAGACTGAACTTGCGATTGACAAATCTTTTCATCAAGGCCCCCTCAGAAATCAGAAGCAGTTCTAAAAGTACTCTCTGTCCAGGCTTATGTAGCAAACCAACAGCCAATACTAGACATTCAGGCATAAATAAAATATTTAAAATGCCACTAAAGTAGGCGTCTTTTAAAAAAAAAATTTCAGTTGTCAGGAATAATGAACATTAAAAAATAAATAGATTACAATCTTTGGCAGTTTAGATTCACCTTCAAATATGACTACATGAAGAAAATTCTAATCTTTATCTACTGTACTCAAGAACATTTGAAGGCACTGGAATAAAAACCTCAGCTACAATTAAAAACTGCAATTCAAACGCATTGCATTTAGCATTAACGCTAAGTAAAGGTGCAAGCAACTGGTAGATTAATTTCAGCATCTAGCTGATCAATAAATTATTGCTCCAAATTTTCATTCAGTTCTAGCACTATAATACAATGTGCAATATTAATGGTAACTGTGTAATAAAATACATAAAAGGCAGCTTAGAAGGACATTTACTTTTTCATTATCTGTAGTTTATGACAGAAATGCAGGCTGTTAAAACATATTGAAGACATTAAGAAGCTTCGTGATTAATAAACAATGCTTCATTTTAGATTATTTCCAGCATACTGGTCCCTCAGATGTAAGATAAAAAGCAAAGAATTTCAGGGAGTATTGCTGACGATAGCTGAGTGTAACATTTGTTGCAGGACTAAAATAACTTTGCTCATTTTTCTCTATTTCAAGCACTTGAATGAATAAAGTTTGTTTTTAGCATAAGACCTGACCTAAGGGATTTTTTTGCTAATCATGTATCATGTAGATATTTGCATAAGCATGTATTTTGTTTTGCTACAGCAGAGTCACAATATTGAGTTCGGTTTTATATAAACATTCACAACAATAAGGAATCATTTTACAAATAAGGCACTTTCTTAAAAGTATGAGTTCACTTGAAATATTTTGGAACCCAGTCCAGTAAGGTCACAATTCTGCAGTTTTGTTTGGAAAGTCAAAGCAGGCTTCTGGTTAAAATGTGTAAGAAACCTCCACAGAAATGAATTTGTGTAATTTCTTCTGAAATTGAAACAGAAGAGTAAATATTTATAAAAATAAAATCTAAAATTGCTTTACTACTGTTTTTGAGGACTGCCAGTTTAGTAATTATTATTTTGCCCACACAGATGTGTTATGAAACTTTTTCTGAGAAAGGAAAACATTAAAATCCCACCAAAAAACTGGACTGTTACCTTACTGTACATGTTACTCAAAAAGCTTCAAGTTTAAGAATGAAAGACAGGATTTTACTATTTGGAAGGAAGTTTGGTGGAAGTATCAGTTATTATTCAGTCTTTAAAATGTTAAATAAAAAAATGTTACAAATTTCCAATCTTTCCTCTTCTAATATGGTAGCACAAAGCAATTGCTGACATGTGATAGTCCACTGCAGAAGGTTGATATATAAACTGCGTTATCTACCAAGAATGTTTGTACAAGTCACTATCATAAACAAATCTGCCAGAAGTATCCAGTTTTTTTTTGGTTGTGGCTGTGCTTGTCATCAATTACAACAGCTGATAAAATTCTCATTTGCTAGAAGCACTCAAACAGAGTTTACCCAAAGAAAGGTTTTCCTCTACCTTCTTCTTATTTCATGTCACTGTGTTCGATGTCCTCTGTTTTTTTTTCTGGCAGAATGTTCGGAGGTGTTAACAATGTTTGTCATCGCTGTTTCTCAGACAGCCATTGAATGACTTTCCGAAGCTGGAGAAATTTCAAAGCTGAATACTAAGGTCCAGATAAATATTTCTTTTAAAAGAAACCGATGATTCTGTTTTTACATTTGTTATCGTCGGAGAGAACTTTAAAGCATGATCAAAGTGAGCACAGGACATATTCATGTGATATCTTTGTTCATGTGTTCCAAAGACCCATACCATCCAGCGGCTGTAACAACTATTTGTTCAGCTGGTGTTGTAATGATTGTTGGAAACAGAATAGGTGTTTCAACTAGAATACAGGCATGTCTCATTATCAGTTAGACTTTCATATCCAAATCTTCCTTTAACTGGTATTCAGGACACATAGACAAAACGCTGTTTGTGTTAAATTATTTGAAGGCTTAAGAGCCAGTTTTGTTTTGTTTTTTTTTAGCCACTGGTCTTGAGAAACTACAGATAGTCAGCTCTTTTATACAATGAGCTTAAAGCCTTCTGCACTGGCAGTTTGGTATTGATGGGTGTGGGTTGAGGAGGTGGGCTATGGGAGAGCTTCCATTATTAACTCCATTTATCATGGCAAATTCTTGGAAGAAATAAAAATGCTAGGTTGCCAATTAAGAATGAATTGTCAAGTTGCCCTGAATGGACTTAGCTAAGAGGGCAACTGTAGCTTGCTGTCCAGTTATGTCAACAAACATCTTAATGAAAAAAACTACAACTTTAAAATAGCAAGAATGGTATCGCCTTCCCACCTCGACAGTACTGTATGTTACTCAATTTGAAGTCAACCAAATTTATTCTTTTTCCTTTTCGCTTTCTGACGTTTCAGTTTCCACCATATTCTGTGCCGTGGCCCCAATAACCTTTCCTGTTCAATAGTAAACCTCAATAGCCTTTTGTTGTGATGAGGGCTTATGCTTTCATTGTATATACAGTATGCACTGTGTAAATATATACACATACTGTATATACAGTACACGCTAAACATCGGGTCACACATGCACAAAGATGTCACAGTATTGTAAAGCAATAGATATCGTATGGAAAAACTGCTTGACCTCAGTTCGTGGCAGGTATGGGTATGTCTCAGTGGAGCGCAGTTGTGTGATAATCGCAGGAAAGAGGCATGCAGAACAGCTCGGCCACAGCCAGAAGCGAATTTTTTTTTCCTTGCCAATGCATTGTTCTGAGCGGTGGTCCCGGGCCAGGGCTGTTTGCAGCTGGAGAGAAGGCAGAAGCTAGCTCTGGCACGAGGGCTGTCCCCAAGGTGGCGCGCAGCGGAACATCGCCGAGAAAAGATTTCCGGACAGATCGTCCCTCTATGATTGACCTCTGCCATGCACTCCAGTCAGATCCTTCCTTATGATTTCATTTACTGGGGGGGAGAGAAGAGAGAAAAAAAAGAGAAGGAAATAAGTAACATGAAAGGAGCACATTACAGTGGCCACAAGCCCTCACTCGCAAGCGGGACCCTGAGCTCTCCAGATATTTTCTCGCTGGGGCCTTCACAGATGGACGTGTCAGTTTCAGCTCTGTGAACTGGCCTTGACTGAGCGGACGTTCCATCAGGAACAGCCTTCCATCCAGTCACTCCAGGATATAAGACCTCTTTCACTGAAAAGTCTACTTTTCTCCCAATTACCACAGCTCTTTTTATTAATCAAAGTCTGTCTTTAATTAATGGCAGAAAGGTGATTTTCCTGCTTTTTATGAAAAAAATACATATGGTACATAAACAAAAGACCACAGAGATTAAATATAGGTGAACACATCCCCCAGCTGGGGAATGACTCGCCTACACTTCATCAAGATTTCCCCTTCTAGAACACAAAAAGCACGTTGGTAATCGGAAATCACAGAAGTACAGACATGGGCATCTTAAAAAACAACTCCATCCCCACTCTTAAAAATAAGAAATCCTTGCCTACATTTTGGGAGAATTTAGATGCCTTCTGCATTTTTAGATTGATTCCTCAGACCTTGAGAAAGGTGGGATCCTCTTGGTATTTTGGCTCATGAGCAGGAGCTGAATCCCTCACTGTAGATGTCAGCCTGCTCTGTATGATCTGGGCAGAGGCATACTGTGGCTATGGTGCCCATTTCTGCACTTATTGGACAGTCACTTAAGCCTAGTACAGACCATTAGGGCAGCCACTCCTGCAGAAACATGTCTCCAAAATGAAAATGAAGAAAAAGCAATAGTTTGATCAAAATGAGGGTAGTGCATGAAGCTTGTCCACCACTGTCTTTGTGTTCAACAGTATTTTGAACAAACCGTGTGCACTGACTGCTGCTGTCCACAAGGAGGAGGAGTGCAGTTTTTCAGCATCACTTGTCATGCAGGCACTCACAGGCACCCATTTTATTTGGTTGCACTTCCTGTTGTTCAACTGAGGGAAGTGTCAGGAGGGTATAAATGGAAACTTTTACTGCCTCATCATTCTAAAAATAGAAGCTGGGTACAGGGGTGGGGGTGGTTCTTTCTTCTTCATCTCTCATCTAAACTGTGGGAAGAGGAGTAGAAAGGGGGGTTGGGGGGGTAGGCAAATTGATCAGGTCTCATTGGCTATTTTAAGGCTTTGCTTTCACGAAAAAATTAGTAAAGATATGAGCCACTTAGCACAAGAGTAGTGTTATAAGGGCAAGGGAAGCACCTGGAAAGCATCCATACAACTGATGTTTACATGCTAACAACACATTCAATCATTCTCTGACCACTTTATCCAGGTCACCTCTTAAGGTTATAGAAGGCAGCAGGACTATTCTCAGTTTATGCAAACCAGCACTCAAATTCTATTCATCCATCCATTTTCCAACCGCTTCTTCCCATTCAAGGTCACAAGGGAATCAGAGCCTATCCCAACAAGCATCTGGCGCAAGGCAGGGTACACCCTTGACAGGACTCCAGTCGGTCGCAGGCCACTCACAGACACAGACACGCACACACACTCACACCAGGGCCAGTTTTCCCAGAAGGCATTTAAGATACCAACATATCCTGGGACACCTGGGCCCCCGACTAGCTCTGTTGGTAGAGCACCAGACTCAAAATCTCAGGGTAGTGGGTTCGTACCCCATGGCGGGCGCCAGGTCCTCCATGTTGGAGGTTGGGTACAAGGCTAACAACCCTGTCTTGTAAAAAACAAAAGTTATGTTATGGAAACAGCAACAGGATGTTGTTGCCCCTAAATGCTGGAAGGCAAACATCCATTCATAAACCAGAGCACCCAGAGAAAACCCACACAAACAGAGAGGGACCATACAAACTCTATGCAGAGAGTAGCCCAAGTCCAGAATTGAACTAGAGCCCCGTTATGGCCTCTCTGAGACAGCAATGCTAACCACGGCACCACTGTGCTGCCCACTCACACGACAGTAGAATATAAAATAGAAAGCCCACTGTGGGCGGGATGTAGGCATGTACTGTAAACCACGACTCTTATATTGTGTCTAGATAAAACCTGCTCCAAAGCTGCAAAGCTTTTGAATTTTTTTAATGCTAATCAGATTAATTTCCCTAAAAAAATGTGTATTTGTTAAAAATTCAAACATATATGAATGTTCATGTTAAAAGTAAACTGCAGTACAGATCAGACGTATTTTTATTACAACTTCCTTCTGTAGGGTTCACCGCTGCCAGGATGACACTAAATGATCTGGTGAGGAATAATAAAACTGAGACCTGTTTACAGGGTGGAGGATGTTGCTTTCTTAAGGACTTTCCAAAGGTCACAGTGAAACAGTCAAAACTCATTTTCTTGAGATTCCTTACAAAGTTTTTCACGCCTTTTATTCTTTTCTTCTTCCTCCATTCCAGAAGAAATGGCTTAAAATGACATTAAGACAGCAAAGTTTTTCAACAACTGCAATTTCCGGCCTAGCACTGTAGCTCAGAGGTCACTATGAGCAGTTCCACCAAGATTGAATAAAGACCACTGTGAACCATAATGCAAACGTCTCATTCTCATTGAAAAACCCCATGTCACTTTCATGTAAAAGTACCAACCATAATAACCCCCGAGCATTCAAAATGAAAAGCCTGAGCCCGACGGTTTCTAGGGTTTTATATTCTCCTGGAGTTTGGCCACTGCTGTATTTGACTTGATGTCAGGCCTGAAACCTCAGCCGAAAGGAATGCACAGAACGCTGAGCATGTCACCTTTCCAGAGTCACTTCCTCTTCCTTGGCTTCCGGCAGGGAATGAGAACTCTGTTTATCCTAGATGGGATGTTTCTCCCCCAGGCGTCATACAATGAAACAGTTTCTCAGTGTACACTGGCTCGGAGTCATTTTGCTGGCGCCACCAAATGAGTTATGGTCCTTCTGATCGTTCTCAAGTACAAGGAGACACATTGTCAGGACTGAATAACACAGTCTTACAGGCCTTTAAGGACAGGTGCACAAACACTGAATACATTAAAAGGCAACTACAGCAAAATAAAGAGTGCTCATTAAATGCCGTGTGAATGGTCTTTTACTCACGGTTTTAAGAGGAGTTTTTGAGCTACATGTAATGCCCAAGCATGAGAGAGATACATTTCAAAACATGACTGTATCTTCTAAGAGGGTTTCTGGTTTTGTTTTTACTCATTTAGAATAAGTAGATTGGTCAGCTAAGACTGAGATACCTTTATTTTATTTTGTAATAATGGTATATCAGTGAAATTGACAGTGCAACAGTTTGTCGGATTTAAAGTGTAAATCCTTTCATGCTGGTCAAACATGGCCTTCTAACATTGTGCACCATGAACACCATCTCAAACGCGCTCAGAGCAAGAAGAAACATGTTCATGACTGGATTAATCATCTGAGATTCGGTGACAGGGCCATAAACAGCCCTACAGGTTGGAATGACATGCTGTAGTGGCGCTCAAATGTATAGTCAATTAAGGGTGTACTGTATATTGACCACAGAGCTATTCAGAAGCTTGAACTTCTATGTTGAACCTTTGACCTATAAACTCAAATGGGTCACCACTTTGCACTTTCTGTAAAGTCACTGGTTTGATTCTGTAAGACGTATCATGTCTTTCAGTGGGTGTACACTATATTACCCCACACTGTGTGAGCGACTATAGCAAAAAGATAATCACTTTGAAATATAATCACTGCTCATTGCCTTGATGTGCTTTCAGTGACAGTGTTTGCGTGTGCGCGTTTTACATTTTACGATCATGAACTACCCACATATTCAGTTACCAGGATCATTACCATCAGTATTTTGGCTCCTCTACCTATGATGTTGGGAGCACAGATCGGCCCAGCAAAGACATGGGCAGACATGGCTGTCAGATGTCAGCCTGGAGTTAACAAACACGCAGCAGAATTGTGCGACAGGGGCAGCCCAGGCTGAAGTGCAGTGCTTCTTCCAAGCATTTTTTGTTTAAAGCTGCCTCATCATCCCCAGAAACAATTGTAGCACAGTCAGAAACTTACTGTACTGTATATAGAAACATAATGCGGCCTATGCAGATTACTCTGCTTTACCTTTTCAAGAACTTCTGTCCCTGTTTATAAGTCAGTACACCTAGAAAGGCAGTAGCATACTCCTCAGGCAGTAGCATACTCCTTATACAGGAATGTTGTTAGAATCGATTTTCAACCCTAAAACCTTTGTGTTTCCGGAAAAACAGGTTCCGCTTTGGAAAGGCGTTTGGTTTTGCAGAAAGGTGAGAGGTGCTCCAAAGTGCTTGTGTTGAGATGGCAGAAGCATGAAAAACCAAATATTATATGTAGAAACTTCTACGAATGCTGAGTTATCAATATAATTGCTACGGTAGAAACCGGGTCAATTAAAGTGACAGGTACGAACAGCAAGAGAAAGACGTTGATCACCAGGCTTCTAGCAGCTGAACACTGCTTCTGGGGCAAACATAGAGTATTAGCACTTGATTATCAAGCTTATTGTAAAGGCAAGGTACTATTGGCACTGCAGAGCAATTTTGGAACTATACTTGGTCGCAGGGTCTCAGCCCTGGCACAAGTCAGCACGTGCTTCAAGGACATGACATGATAATGATGACAAGTGCGTAAGCATCTTGCATTTGCGCAATGTTTTCTCAGCGAATGGGAGGTGTCCATCAAGAGACGTGACAAAACTAAAGGAAAAACAAGAGGAAAGTGCAGTAATGGCTCATGTGAAAACCCAAAATGTTAAGGGTACATTATGTTTGGGTACATATGTGTTTAAATGCAATATATTTATATACTCGTTCGAGTTGGGAGCTGCGCAAGTGTGCATTGGCTGCAATGTTTTGGCTGTTGAGCGTTCCTTCATGTGTTACCTTCAATTTTTGCATATGTATAATTACAGTACCTACAGTACAGGCACACAGTCTATCTATCTATAATTAAAGGACCATACTCTATAAAAGT